CTTTTTAAATAAATAGTAAGAGAAATAAACTTTTAAATAATTAAAATGCTGTTTTTTATTACTTGTTTTGAAAATATCATTTTCAAAATTTAAATTATTCTTTCTGCTCTTAAAGTAATGCTTTAAGATGACTGTAAAAATAATCAGTAAATAAGTAAAAAAATAAAGATTAAGAATATTTGAGATATGAATTGCTGCTGCTACAGTAAGTGGATGAGATTGTTTATGGGGAGCGAAAAGTAGAAAAGAGCATGAAACAATTCAGGAAAATTTGTTTGAATGGCAACAGGAGGACAGAGCGACTCTAAGAAGCAAGAGCAGTGAATAAACAGCAAAAGAGATTTGAAGTGAAAGAAATAAGGAAGCCATAAGAGACTGTTTAGAATGACAGGAGAATGTATAGAACGTGATGCAGCCACATGCAGCACCATATAAAGGGTTTCACTGGCTCAGGAGTGTCTGCACAGTATGGTCAAAAAAGTCAAGATGGCAATGCACATAAAAACCTGTTTTTTCCTCTTTCTTTTGCCTTCCTGTGTTTAGCCCGGAGACGTAACTGAACAAGGGCTATGAGATAAGAGAAAGAAATTTGAAAGATCAGTTCAGCATGGAAATTTAACTGAAATACTTTCAAATCCAACCTCTTTTTATATCCCTAACATAAATAATGAAGTATAGCTAAGCTAATAATGAGGCATTAGCTGTTTCAAATTCCAGAAAAAAATACAAAAAATAATTCATGGAGAAAAAAAGAGAATTATTAACATTAATCTCCTTTTCAAGACCGCGGCTGATCACCTCACTTAAAGAGATGGCTCTGTTGTTGTTGTTGTTCCTTCTTTACAATCATGTTGATAGGGACACGATAGAGAATGCTAGCCATGTTTGTTGTCTGGGAGCATTCATAGTTTTAAGTATATACCATTAAAAATATTTTGATAATATTTTCAATCATAAATATTGTTTTGATAATTTGAGAGTTGTTAATAAGTATAATGTCCCCCTCAACCCAGATAATTCAACAATATAATTCAATGACCACTCTATGGCTTTCCCTGATATAATTTCCTTCCATACAGTGTCACAATTTCAGAAAGAGCAGATCAAAATGACATACACAAAAGTCAATGCTTCTGGAAAAGGATTTGGGCCTGAAGAGCAAGATAAGTAATGGAAAGTGTCATGCTTATTATTAACTCACAGTGATGCAAATATTCTCCTAGAATCCCTTTTCAAAGGAACTGTCCACTCTCACTAACTAAACTTCAGCACATGAGTTAATAATGCTTTGATATTTGGTTTAGACAGCTATTCCTGTCTTTTGGATCATCAGAAACTCTTTTATGGTAAGAGCTTTTCCGAAACCTGGTCTTGAAGTCTGAACCAGAAGCAAGCAAGGTTTGAAATATACTTAAATTGCATGTGTTTATGAACTGCATGATCTTAGCAGACAGAGGCTTCACGGAAGTGCAACCATGTTTTGACTTTGATTCTGCAGGAAAAAATAATTGCTATACTTCATGAAACACAGAATTCTTTTTGTTAAAGGACTCAATAGTATTTCTTTCTTCCTGAAAATCTCTCTAACTTAGGCTATTTTCTGCTAAACAAATATAATACTGCTTAAAAATAATTGGGATACATCACCATCCAATCAGAAGAGAAAGCTGTGATTTTCACAACAAGCACAAAGCAGATGGGATCACTTGGTTCCATAAAAAGCAAAGCTTCTAGCAATTTCAAGAAAAAGAAGGGCAATCATGGTTGCTACAGACACCCCCATGTTTTTATACTCCACAAGCGATCAGAGATATTATTGATTGCTTAGACTAACTTTTCTAAACTGGCACCTTTTACATTTGCTGGATCATCTCTCATACTCTCCAGCAAACAAATCCCAAATCATTGTGTCAGCAAATTAAAAATTAGGATCACAAGATATACAGGATAAGTTAAAATAATAATTTTCAAGTTTGGTATAAAGGAACATCAGGGAAAGGAGTGTTAAGATAACATGGTTCAAAATCTGCATATTTATTTTGCTATTTTTTAAATGAAGCAAAATATCTACATATGGTAGGACCCCTGACAGAATTACATTCAGGGCATTGTTTTTTTGTCATTAGGTCTTCATGTTGGGGAAAGGCTTCTCTGACTGAGTCATAAGCTTTTTGAAAAACATACAGGAATCATACCAATACATAATTTGCCAAGCCTAAATAGCCCCTACATCATATGTAGATGAGGAATGGGTAGAAATAAAAAGATGCAGGACTTTCAAATTTCTCCTGCATTTTGAGTAGCCTGAAATCCCTATGAATAATCACTAGCTATACCCCCCCCCAAAAAAATGTAGGTATCAACAGTATATAACTATGGCTCAGGACTCAGGTATAGTACAACTTCCCTAACTAGCCCATCAGGTAATGCATTTTTCATCAAGCAGTTGCATTCTGCTCACATTAATTCATGTTTCAGGCTGTTTCCTGCATATTTCTAGTAATCTCACTTCTTGCTACACATTCTTAGCAAGACTTTTAATAGCTGTGTGTACATGAATAAAAGAAAAGAACCAAGTGTTTTTGCTTGTAGCCAGACAGGTAAATGATTCTTAGAGGAACAGAAATGTGACATAGTGAATCTCCAAGATCACTTCATTCTGTCATCCAGATAACAATTCGTAGATCAAATTTAATGGTTAAATAAGCAGAGTCTGGCTTGGAAGATGAGGATGTCATAATAAAGCCTGCTCTTTCAGTGTGTGGTGTATGATATACAGTATGATTACTTCTAAACAGCCTGGAGATTTTGGAATTTGATTTTTATAATGCTTTATAAGCAATCAATATTTATCCACTTGCTAATATTTGCTCGATTAAAAACTTAGACATTGTTGTCATTTTCAAATTAGAATATATAAAACTAAAGTTGGACTTAGGGAAAATGTAAAGTACATCATGTGTAGAGCTAGTTTGGTCTAGTGCAGTGTTTCTCAACCTTGACAATTTTAAGGCATTTGGACTTCAACTCCCAGAATTCCACAGCCAGCAATGCTGGCTGTGGAATTCTGGGAGTTGAAGTCCACATGCCTTAAAATTGTCAAGGTTGAGAAACACTGGTCTAGTGGTTAAGGCACAAGGCTAGAAACCGGGAAACTGTGAGCTCTAGTCCTGCCTTAGGCATGAAAGCCAGGCGAGTGACTTGGGAGAAGGAAGAAATATTGGATATGTTTGGCGCCTTGAGTTATAAACAAACAAATAAATAAATCAGAAGCAGTAATTGTGAAGTTTTAGAGCCCCAGGCTTATGCTTAAGCAAATGTAATACCTTTAGCTGGTTTATCCACCAGCTTCATTCCACCAAATTTCTGTTAGCCCATTTAAAATAAGTAAGTGTTCTATGGCACCTTAAATGCTAAGATAAATTTCTACATTTATTATTAGAAGGTGGAATCTTACAGAGGAAGATACTTTATCAGTCCCCACTAATATAAAGAAGCTCCATCAGCAAGAAAATACCATTATAATATGAGATATATGAAGTTTATAACAGTGAAAGCTATAGATAGGTTTCCTGGCATAATGCTTTTCTAGATCCAGACCTGCTTCACTTACGAGAAAGATCCAATCAAAGTCCTCTTTCCAGCTATGGAAAATTCCCTCCTATTGTAACCAACAGGAAAGGAAAAGAGGGGATCCTAGTATACCAAGGGGAAGGGGGTATCTTCCATTTAATCAGCATTTAAGTTTTATAGACAAATCTCAGTTTTGGAAGCCCGTTGTCTTATCACCAGGAACTAGGAGGCATCTATATAGCACGGATACGTAGATTTAACAAGAGAAAATTGAAAAAAGCTTTTGTAAAAAACAGTGCTCCAAATACATTAAATGTAAAGAGATAAAAAGATCTTATTCTTGGATTGAAGTGATAACAAGATGGTAGGTAAATTATTTTCAGCACAGAAGACTGTAATAGTTTTCAGATCATCAGAGCAAAATGAGAAGAAGCTCACGGTGGAGAGTGACACTTTCTAATTTTAATCTGGAAATTTTAATCTTCAAAATCAACAGATGACTTATACAATTTATGATCTACCATGCCAAATGTATATATTGACCAAATATTGTTCTCTTTCTCTTTCTACACTTAATTATCACCCTTTCTCCAGTGCTTAGAAGTTCCAGGCATAAAACGCAGCAGTTTTCCTAGCTTTTGGTTGGCCTCCTTATAAACCTGATGGACTCTTCAGCTTGGCAGATCATAAGAAGTGCAGGCCTGGTTTAAGAAGGTCCAAAATAAACCTGCAATCAATGGATGAAAGGCTATTTGGCACAAGAGCCCTTTCCTCCATTCCGCTGCACAAAGGCCGTCTCATCACAAAATGCCCCTTCCCGCAAACCCCTTCCACAGCCACCTCCGGCATTTCCAGTTGCCCTCTGCAGGAGGGCTTAACAGACCTCCCCAAAGGAGAACCCCCGCACATCTCAGAAATCTGCGCTCCTCTTAGTGAGGAGAGGAAGACGGACGCTCCCAGTATCCCGAGGGCGTCCTTGGGTTCTCCCAGGTGCGAAAGGGGTTCTCCTAGGTCCCCTTCGACGTAGGGCCAGTCTGGCGTCCAAGCCGAGAAGCCCTCACTTTCTCCCCCGTCCCACCATCGCTTCTCTCAGAGCAACACTTTTCACAGGATCCTCCTCAATCATTTCCGCCCTGGTGTCCTGGCTTCTCTCTTTTCGCCGCCACCTCTTTCAGTTTCCAGGACGGCCCGCTACAGTTATTTTGGCACGAGCGGGCTCTTGAGCAAGCCCCAGCCATCTCTCCCTGCGTGGGATGCTTCGCTGATGTCATGCTCTCGCTCAGCTGCCTGCACACAAGCGCCCGGCCTCTCTCCCTCTCTCTTTCTCGAGAACGGGCTCCGCCAAGAGGGCTAGAAAGTTAGCCGATACCCTCCATGGCTTCCGGGAAGCAAAGTCTCGAGAATAAACAAGCCGCCCGCCCTCTTACCTCAGGCACAGAGTGGCTGGATCGGCACGTGTTTGTGCGTGGCGCGCCGGGGCAAGGAACGCCTCAGAAGCTCCGGCGCAGCAGCAAACGCATCTCGCTCTGCTGCCGGTCCTCCCTTTGCAGGTGAGCCTTTCCCTGTTCCTCCTCCTTCTCCTCCTCTTCCTCCTCCTCTACCACCTCCACCTCCTGCTGTTGCAACTGCCGCCGCTGCTGCCCGCTTGCCCGTGTTGTGTGTGCGCGCCCTGAGCCACTGCAGCATCTCTGCATAAGGATGTGCTCCTCCCTTCCCCTCCCTCTTCCCTGCGCGCGTCCGCCCTCCAGCAGCGTTCAAGGGGCTAAAGAGGGGGTTCCCCCCTCCCTTTCCACTCTGCCTTTCCCTCGTTTGCCAGCACCAGGCAGCGCTCGAGGCAGAGAGTGACTTGCAGCTCCACCCATAATTGTCGGGCTTCAGCTGCGCGGCTGCCTCTTTTGGCGCCCTTCTCGTTTCAGGGAGACAGTCTCCTTTTAACACTTCTCTGAACTAGGTCCGGTTGCTTTGGGTTCCTCCGGCCTCTAGGCCGTGGGGGAAACAAAATGGTTTAATGGTTAGCGTTAGAAGCCGATCTCTGCCCCCATCCCACCTCAAGCAATTACAATGGCAAAGAAATTCCGACCTCGAACCTGTTCCTGGTCGAGAGAATATTTGATCTCGAAATTGCTCGTCCAGCAAGCAAGGTCTTGCTGAAGGACTTTGACCAGCATCTTCCCTTTTTTTTTTTTTTTTTTTTTTGCAAATGTTGCTGCTCCCAATTGCTAGGATTCATAGCAAGATGAACAATCCTTCATTACCTGTTCTTGGCTGAAGTATGTTAAAAGCTACAATAATAGCACTCTTGACTGAAAGCAGAACTTAATTTGAGATTTTAATGTTGTGCTTCCCAATATAACTGTAGCTGTATATTTCTTTTTTCTTTCTTTTTGTTTTATAATCATTTTATTAAGGATTAGATTTATATTATATAGATAAAAGTAATGCAAAGTGCAAAAGATAAAAAAAATAAAAATTAGGAAAAAAAGAAAAGAAAAATAAACAAACAATAGAAAAAGCCTCCCCCTTCATCTCCAGCAAGTATAGTTAACATTAACAATTTATTATCATCTTTTAAAATACAACATCCCATATTTTACCCCATTCAAATATTTTAAAGAAATCTTTAAAGCCTCTTTACTCCATCCTAAATTAGTAAAAAAAAGTCCATTAAGAATTAGCAGAAGCAACAATGCAACTATTTCTAACTATATTTAATACACTTTGAATTCTTCCTTTTACATTTCTATTTTATTTTTGTATTTAATCCAATCTCCTCAATCTTACCAACAAAACCTTTAAAACACTGTCGTCTTGTCCTACTTAGCATAAACCTATAAACATTACTAGAAATAGCAGCCCATTTATTTTAGCTTTGATCAAATAAATTAACTTCATGTTCTTTTCCCTTTCTCACAATTTTAGTCCCCTCATATAATGTCTGTTTCCTTTTTATGCTCTGTTTGTCTCTTCTCATAAAATCATTGGCAACTTTAACAAGTTCCTTTTGTACATCAAGTGTGAGGAAATTATCCATGTCACTTTTCATATTTTCACTGTCTCTTCCCAAGAAATCGTTGGCAACTTTAACAATTTATTTTTATAAATACAATATAAAAAGGTAATCCACATCACTCTTCTGCTTTATTATTTGTATGGCATTTTTGATTATTAAAAATCATCCACTTTCATTTGTATATCGAACAATTCACCTTTTTGTGTATCCTCTATTAAACTTTTCCCATCTCCTTCTTATAAGCTGTTGTTCTAAAATCCACATTTAAATCAATTTCAGCTTTATTCGATGGAACTTGTTCATCTTCCATGACACCATCTAGTATAGCTATAATAGCAGATAACTTTAAAGTTATTTTTCTGAAACCAATACAAGGTAGTTCTTAACTTATGACCACTATTGAGCCTAAATTTTCTGTTGTTAAGAAAGAAAGTTGTTAAGTGAGTTTTACCCCATTTTATGACCTTTCTTGACATAGTTGTTAAATGAATCACTGCAGTATTTAAGTTAGTAACACGGTTGTTAATGAATCTGGCTTCCCCATTGACTTTGCTTGTCAGGTTGCAAAAGGTGATCACATGACTCCAACATACTGTAACCATCTTTAATACATGCCAGTTGCCAAGCATCCAAATTTTGATCACATGATCATGGGGATGTTGCAATAGTCATAAGTGTGAAAAAAGGTCCTAAGTCCCTTTTTTCACTGCTGTAAATCGAAGAATCCCTGTAGTCACAGATTTCTCTCAATGGATAATTGATATATTCATTTCCTTCTGGAGCCCTCTAGTGATCAGCCTTCAAAGTCATCTTGTTTTTTTCAAGATGTAAACATACAAACTTTCCCATGGGAAGGACTCTTATAATTAATTTTAAAGTCTTCATGCAAGTTCATTTAGACCATTTCACGGGGGTCGCCAAACAACGCAGTCTGCCATTTCCCCCCCCTTTTCCTTAGCTGTGTACTCCCTTTTATTCTATTGGCTTTTGAAAGCCAATAGAACAGATTCTCTTGAATAGAGTCTAATTCTATTGGCTTTCAAAAGCCAATAGGAATTGTCCAGGGTGTCTCTGCCCTGCTGAGCCCGCCAAAAGTCCCATTCTGCAAACGGTGCTGCACCAGGTGAGTAGTCCTTGACTTACGACCGGTTGAGTAGTCCTCGACTTACGACTGGTTGGGGGTCGCGGCATTAAAAAGGTTGAGAACCACTGATTTAGACCCTTAATCTAGTTAAAATTTTATAAAATCAACACTCTAATCACCCTTAGCAGTATAGTCACAATTTTTTCTGCAAAACCCTAAGCTCATAATTAAAATTTCACCTAATGAATGTGACAAAATTTGCTGTTCTGAAGAATTTTTAAAAAGCAGTTTAAAAAACAGAAAATCCAAAATTATTTAGGTTCAGTTAAGTTCATAAAGGCTATATTGATAGCAATGAGTTCAGTAGAATCCCATGATTCCCAGCTATTTGCAAGCTGACTGTGAAAGCCTCAATTCCTACCATCTATTCACAAAAAACAGCTGTCCAGAATATGTATTGGCAATCTCAAGATCTCTCCTTTGTTTGGAGAGATTTTGGCAGTCAAGATCCAATATCCAGCCACCATTTGCAATTGTCAATATGTCTGTAGGAAGTCAGTTTGCCATTTCCTCACTAGAAGTCTCTTGCGATATGTTCCTTTTCTAATGCCTGTGTTCATATGCATGTGTTTCTGAGCCTGCGCAGATCACTGTTCCCCACTGCTAAAGAATCAAAACCTAAGTCAGGGTAGATGATCCTAGGGAAGAGAATTATAATAGATTGTATTGACTGCTGAGGATAAGTGCAAAAGGAGCACATGATCTGATTGATACACTGCACTATAAAATCACAAGCCAAAAAGGGGCGCATGATCTGGTTCCACACGATACACTACACTATAAACTCACAATCTACATTTTATCCTGATGTGTGAATTTTGCCTGATTAGTTAATGACTCAGGTTATGATACGAAGTTAGGCAATTTGATTAACTGATTAAACCATGGTTATCATGACAGTACAATGTTCATTACATGAATGGACCACCTCTGAACAAAACAAGAGCTTTTGTGTCAGTGCCTTGCTACAGAAGAGCAAACAGCCTTGGCACTCTTACCTCTTTGCAGTGATCTTCTTAGCTACTGCTTTTAAAGAACGATGTAGAAGCAATGATTTGGCTAAAAATTGGAAATGGTTTAGAGAAGAAGGCATCAGATAGTTGGAGGAGACGGGGGACATCCAAATGCAAAGATATACACGGAAAACAAGTTTAAAGATTTAAAGAACTGCTCCAGGAAAAAAAATATAATACCAAAAGTCAAGTTGATCTTTTGATTGATTATGATTCAGAGTGCTCTTAAAAAGCTATTCAAAATGTAATGAACTAAAGAAATTTCTGAACATCTGGATCCTCTCCCTAAAATATGGGCAAGTCTTTTATGGGGGTTCTAAATTTCATTGAGGCTTTATTTTGTCTTCCCAAACTTTAAACATTAACTTTTGCCATTTGGTAATATATGCAATATATTACCATTTGGTAATATATGCAATCATCAATCTAGTTAGAAGAGGGATTCCATATAGTGCATCAAATTTTCATTCAGCAACTGCCTCCAACAGTTATGACAGTGATGAAAAAGTGAGTTGATTTCCAGAAAACTTCCTTCACCCAGCTGTGTGGGATTGTACCTTTCTGATGCTGTAAAGCAAAGGAAAACTGAAGTAAAATTGTAAGTAGACTTGCAGTCACATAATTTTTCACTTACTGCTTTGCTTAATGACCAAGTTTTTGCCCCCAATTGTGGCTGCTAAACAAGGACAACCTGTACACCTCTGCCTTTCCAATGATGGAGGAAACTCATAGAAGACACTGTGGACATTTCCAAACAACTTAAAAGAGAAGCTTTATTCCATATCTGTCTTAAAAAGAAAGAAAGAAAAGAAAAAAGAAAAAGGATTGATTTTTTTTTCAGAGCAAGACTGTCCAAAGAGATGATAATGGGATAAATCAGTTCTGGAATCTGATTCTGGGAAATAAAAATATTCAAGCAACTTTTATTTCTGAATGTTTTATTAAAATGTGAATTTATTCCATTTTTTAAAATTCTAGAAGTCATAAACCACAGGTGTTTAAAAATACCCATATAAAATTTTTAATTTAGTATGTTATTACTAAACTATGGGTATTTGTTTTAAGTAGCTATTAAAATACTGCATTTGAACCTGTAATTCTCTTAACTGTACATACAAAATTTCATTTCTGTGGAAATTCAGTGAAGTAGGATATGATCTGTCTTGAATTTAGTTTCTTTGGGAGATGGGCAGCTTCATAAATTTGTTATGAAACAAGCAAATACTGATTTCCTACAACCCAATTGTGGCAGAAAGTTCACAGCAAGAAAAGAAACCAGCAGCTTCTTACATTCATCACCTGATGGTTGAAACAATACATCAACACCAAGACTAGCAGCCAGTGATTGTCTTATACCTCGTTAACTTGTCTAGATCCAAGTTAAAGCCACCAAACATGGTGGCCATCACCAGGTACAGCTATGGCTTTCAGAAGCTGACTGTGCAGAGTGAGCTACACTCTTTTTTCTGACCTGAATATTTTCGGAGCTAAACATAGAGATGTCGCGCTGGTTCCTCAATCATTTTGGATGCTTTTGTTTAAAAAAAATCCCCTGCATGTTTCCAAGCTTTAAAGTTTTCTTTTTGATGTCTGAGAGCCAAGATGATATTCCCTATGCCTAGTGGGATTGCCCTGTAGAACCTGTCCTACTGCAAGGTCCCTGACCTTTGGGAGCCATTAGGCACTTTTAGAACCTGAGAGCCTGTTACAGTATCTCACAAAATGGATATAATGGTGTGTGGGCTGTCACAAAACACCCATATGCCAGAAGGCAAGCCAAATAGTGGGCAGCTGCCATCTGCCATTTTATTTTCTAAGATTGCTCCTGATAGGGTATTCTTGGAAATTCAGGTTATGCTTGAGGCTGGTGCTTTGCCTTCCAACATACTAATTGCCCATACATTTTTTTAAAGGCTAAAAATCTAAAAAAAAAAAAAAGGCTGGTAGTTTAGCACACAGCAAAGAATATATCATTGAACAAATTGTTGCCTCTGTAGTCACAATGGAGATTTGGGGTATACAGCTAGTCCTTGACTTACGACCACAATTGAGCCCAAAATTTCTGTTGCTAAATGAGACATTTTGTTAAGTAAATTCTGCCTCATTTTATGACCTTTCTTGCTATAGTTGTTAAGTGAATCACTGCATTTGTTAAATTAGTAACATGGTTGTTAAGTGAATCTGGATTCCCCATTGACTTTGTCAGAAGGTCACAAAAGGTGATCACATGACCCCGTGACACTGCAACTGTCATAAATATGAGTCAGTTGCCAAGCATCTGAATTTTGATCACATGACCATGGGGATGCTGTAATAGTTGTAAAACTGCCATATATCAATTTTTAAGTGATGTTGTAACTTTGAACGGTCACTAAATGAACTGTTGTAAGTCAAGGACTACCTGTACATTATAGTACAATCAGGTAGGCATCTCCTATGCTACCAATAAAAGGCTGATTTAAACGTTTGATCAGGTTGGCACAAAATCTACTTTGACCTCATTTTCAT